GTGCTGGTGCAACATTATGTTTGCATTGGAAGTGCAAATTGGGAATTTGTTAGGAGAAAGCTCACCAGCATGGATGCCCTTAGAGATAAGATCATGTGCAGATGATAAGGATCCACATATCTTATCACATCCTGTGCTCCACTCTCCTGGAGAAAAAAGATTGTTCATCTTCCCCAAGTAGCAGAATAAGACTGGAGCATGTAGACAATAAAGGAAAAAAAACCCTAAAAATCTCCAGCATTGAGGTTCCAAGTTGCTCTGATGCTGCTGGATCACAATCCAGCTGAGGGGAGCAGCAGCAGGGGGGCTGTGCTCGTGCAGAGCTGACCTCAATGGGGCACATCCTGGGAGTAGTCATGGAAAGAAGATTCCTTCCCACCCCTGGAAGTGTCCAAGGCGAGGTTGGATGGGGCTTGGATCAACCTGGTCTCCTGGAAGGTGTCCCTGCCCATGGCAGGGGGTTGGATCTTTAAGGCCTCTTCCAACCCAACCTGTTCCACAATTCTGTGGTTCTGTGGTGTGCCTTTGGTGAGGCTGGAAGGTCAAAGCAGCAGATCCTGGCCTGGTATGAGGAATCAAAGACAGCAAAGGACACCTTTTTCCCTGCCCTTGAGGAACCTAGAGCTGGACGTGGGGTGTTTATCCCCAAAGGACACGGCACCCTTGTGTGCACCAGCTCTGCCATGGCTGATCCTGGTTTGGGGAGCCCCAGGCAGCAGCAGAGACACAGCCAGTCACAGCAGAAATTCAAAGGGTGTTCCAGCAACACGTAACTCTCCATGCTCCATGAATAGTATCCATATGAATATTCACCTGTCTTAAAATGACCTCTGAATCCACTGACCCCAGATCTCCTCTGGCTTTTCCAGAGAGCTCCTTAGTTACACAAACAACATTTATCAGTCCACTGGGTGTTTTCTAAACCCAAGCCCTCCTATTTGTTATTCTTGGTTGTTTTTCTTTTCCCTTTATCTGCCCGAGCAACGTTACCTTCAGGTCTGTTTTTCTTGCCTACAATTTTTGATCCACTTATAACTTTTAAAATAATATCTCTCATCATAAACTCAAATGAAGAGTTTTCAAATAGTTTCCAAATTATAGCCCCAAGAGTTAGGGGACACATTTCCTGGCACTCTCATCACTATTTCAAAATACAGAAAACTACGAAATTGTGAAAACTGTGGAATGGTGTCTGCATTTGTCACAAAATACTATTTATATATACCTATATATTTAGCTCAGGTTATTTTATAGATAGATAGATAGATAGATAGATAGATAGATAGATAGATAGAGAAACAGACACAAAAAAATAACAAGTTACAGAAATTTTCTGACCATGTTTTTAAAAGTTTGCTAAAAGTTCTCCAGATAAACATTGTTTAACAGCAAATATTGTGTTACTTTACAGCACAGAAGTCTCTTCTCTCCCCTCTTTCCTACTTGAGCTCTTTGTTGGTCATTAACTGCCTGTGCTGAGTAGTTTGTTCCATTATCCAAACTCCAGATCTGTCCTCACCAGACAATAGCCAGCTCTGCTGGCAGATGAGTGCATTTTGGATCTCACATTCTCTATTCTTGCAGCTTTACCTAATGGAAATTCGTAATGTGTAGTAGTCCAACTTCCAAAAAAAAGATACAAGATGATGTAAGGAAAAATATTTAAATTTTTAGAAGGGCAAACACACTACATACTCCTCTTCCAGCTTCTCCAATTCTCAAAGTTTTACTTTGGAACCCACACCACTACTAAAATATATTGTAAGTTAAGTGTCTTAAAAGGATTTAGTAATCTAAATACATCTCTGAGTGCTGTCCAAAATGTCTTACGTGGGACTAGCCAAAGTAACTAAAAATATGTCTGTTGACTTAAGCAAAGTTTGGATCAAAATGCTATTGTGTGACTGGTTTGCTTGTCTTAGTGTAAACCAGACCTTAATACTGAACACGTTAAAGGAACATCCTGCATTTTCATCCTTCCTTCTTTCTCCTCAGCCTTGCACTGTCCATGTCTGGGTTTTGTGCTTCATTTGGTTGCATTTCCTTTCTTCCCTTTGTGCAATGAGAAAGACACAGATTTATCCCACTTAATTTTGGATTCTTAGCAGAGGCTTCCAAGCCTGGAGCCTCAGCATGGCAAAGAGCAGCTAGGTGTCTCTGGGAGCAACTCAACAGATCTGAAGGTTGAAGTGCCTCTCTTTGTCTCTCATTCTCTGTGGATCAGAGAGAAGACAGTGGAAAGGGGTTCTCAGCTTGGTCCCTCAGTGCAGGACCTGCAGCCAGGCAGGAGAAATCCAAGGTCAGGCATGCAATCCCACCCAGGATCCACTGGGAACACTGGATGGACACTCACTCCATTACACTGCCCCCACCACATTTTTCCTGTAAAAAACACCTCTCCAAGAGCACAGCAGGGTCAGAACAGAGGACAAAGCCACACACATCCAGACCCTCTTCCCAACCATGCCAAACAAGCAGCACTCTCTTCCTTTCTATTTTTTTTCTGAGCAGGGAATCCACACCTCGTTACCCACAAGAACGGCCAGAAGACAGAGCAGCTGGCAGGGATGCCAGCTCTGAGCCTCCCCTTCTTGTCCTCAGGTTAAAAATCATAACAATAAAAGAAGCTCTATGGTTTCTCCTTGCCGGATCATTGTTGAAGGAGGCACCTCTAGTGCTGTGGTTTCAGGATATGCCCCATTGAGGTGGACTCTGCATGAGCACAGCCCCTCTGCTCCTGCTCCCCCATACTTTGGGCTCAAACCCAGTTCCCTCTCAGCCCTCCCCTCCCCAGGCACTCCAGGCTTGTCACTGGGAAATTATTTCCTTCCTTTCCCCTTTCCCCTTTCCTTTCCCTTACCTTTCCTTTCCTTCCCTTTCCTTCCTTTCCTTTCCTTTCCTTTCCTTTCCTTTCCTTTCCTTTCCTTTCCTTTCCTTTCCTTTCCTTTTCCTTTCCTTTCCTTTCCTTTCCTTTCCTTTCCTTTCCTTTCCTTTCCTTTCCTTTCCTTTNTTCCTTTCCTTTCCTTTCCTTTCCTTTCCTTTCCTTTCCTTTCCTTTCCTTTCCTTTCCTTTCCTTTCCTTTCCTTTCCTTTCCTTTCCTTTCCTCTCTATCTTTCTCTCACAAGGCAGAACAGCTGCTGCCCTCGCTATCCCCAGGGGCATCTCCCCACTGCTCCTCCAGCCAGAACATTTATAAGTGGACGTGAAAAGAAAAAGAAAGAAAATTCTGAATATTTCCCAATGACAAGCAGTGAGACCAGAGCTTTTAGCAACTATATTTCGTGTTATTCCATTGCACAAAAATTGCTGCTCAATTTGTAAAATTTATATGATGGAGACTTATCCCTGCCTGGTTTTGCTTTTGTAGCTTGAGGAGTTACTGACTGAGGGGCAAGAAGAGCTTCACCCCCCTTCACAAATGGCCAGGTTTAGTGCTTTGGTTAGAGGAAGGAACCAGTCATCAGGATTTTATGGAAGCAAAAGGGAAAAACCAAGCTTAAGTGCTACCAAAACCAGACCTCCCGTGTTTAATGGCAGTTGGACCTCTCGAGGAAACCACTTGGGCGGACACCCTGTCCCATGTGGTTGAGCTGTTCCCTCTGTCAGTGGTTTCAGAGGAAAAGATCATGTATCACTCTCGCAGCCAGAGCCTTCTGGAATCAATAAAATTATTTGCTCTTCTTCCCCAAAATGTTTTGAGTTAACCCATCAAAATTTCCAAAGCGCTGGCAGGATGGAATAGCTGCAGGCACCAGGAGAGAGGGAGGTGAGCAGCCAACTCACAGAGAAACACAAGGGTGGATGATACTGAGCTGCCCAGGAATCACCTTAATATCAGTTTTTATTCTGTTTTGAAAACTTGACTCATGTTCTCAATTAACTGCAATGTCAAATTACAATATGTAAAGCCATATTGCTCTTTTGCCTAAGTTATTTCAGAAGAGATGTTGCATTTGCAGCTTTATGTCCCAAATACCCCTATGAATGCAAATGGGCAGAAGATTTCAAATTAGCTCAATTTACAAACTGCAGTCAGGAATATTCTGAAAGAAAGGGGCCAAGGAAAATATGTGAAATACTTGTTCTTAAGAGATCAGGTCAAGTAAGTGACCAGGAGGAATTTCCATTTATAGCACTCTGTGTCCTGCGGTGGCTGTAGCACTGCCTCTGACAGTGGGATGATTTCAAGTTTAAAAGTGTATTTACCTTTTTTTTTTTTTCTCCTATTATCCTGCAACAACAACAGCAAAATGACATTTTAAGGAGGAGTTGTGGCCAGGCAGTTTTTAGGCAGAATGATGTGAGCATCTGGCTGGGAGAGAGCTGGAACCTGCACCCCAGTTACCTGTAGCTGCCTCACATTTTCCTCCAGTTTACACATGACAATTCAGGATTTGTCCAATTTTTACCCAGAAATGCACAGAAAGGCCAGCTGGGATTCTGACAAGCAGGATCTGAGCACTCTGCCTAATGCAACAGGTACCGCCCACACATTTGGGGATAGGATTTCTCTTGCTGCACACCTCTCTGCTCCCAAGAGTTTTCACTGCAGCCATCACCAGTATACACAAACCATTAATTAAGTACTGAAAGTGAACCACACTCACAGAAGCCAAAACAACACTGGTATATGCACATTAATCAACATGTCACCTTAGAGACCCTCAGAACCATGAAAGGTCATAAAGCTGTCAGTCAAGTCAGTGTTAAATTGGCATCAAAAACCACCTTGCAGCAACTTGGATGTACAAAACTGAACATAAGCACAACTGATCACGACCAGAATGTCCTAAAGCTCCAACATGAGGGTGGGGAGGAAGGACCATCCCTGTGACATCCTGGTTATCAGCCAGGACTGGATTCTCTCCTACAATAAACAGTCGGGCTCTCCGAGGTCACCAACACCAGCAGAACCCCCACATCTTTAGCAGATGACAGCTGCTACATTTCTACTCTAAAATAAAAAGAAAATAAAGGAGGAATTCAAAGTTTCTACTTACAGCATTAAGCCCCAGGGAGTTTCCTGGGAGAGAGGAGGTGACTCCGGAGAGAATGGCTGTGGCCACCACTGCCCCCAGGCACTGGGCGAGGATGTACATGAGCGCCTTGAAGATGCTGATCTGGCAGCTGAGCAGCAGCCCCAGGGTGACAGCGGGGTTCAGGTGCGCCCCGCTGATGTGGCCCACGCTCTGCGCCATGGTAGCGATGGATAACCCAAAAGCCAGGGAAACCTTCACATTGTCCTGGGACCTCGTTGATGTTTTGTTGGCCACCACGGGGAAGTTGAAGCCCAGAGCCGAGCCAATGCTGATAAAAATGAAAAGGCTCATGGCCAAGAACTCGGCCACCACTGCCCTCCAGAATATTTTCTTTCTGAATTCACTAGCCATCTTTCCTCTTTCTCTCTCTCTCTCTCTCCCCTCCTCACTTTCCCTTCTCCCTCTCTCCCTTCCTTTGCCTGATATTTTCCCTTTGAGGTCTGAAGAGAAATCTGGAGGAAAAATACAGTCCTTGGATTATTTATAGGGCTTTGGGTGGTCTGTAGGAGGGAAGGGGTGTTGCACAAAAGGAGGAAAGAACATCTACATAGATGCTGACTGCTAGATTGATGTAAGACACTGTTTGCCTGCCAAAGTTTTTTTCTTCCTTTTTTTTTTTTTTTTTTTTTTTTCCCCTCCCTTAACAGCGTTCGATCTCTGCCGCCGTTTTTAAGAGGCTTTTTAAAATTCTTGGAAAAATCTTTAGGAGAGCCTTAGGAATTTCAGCCTCACTTCTTTAACTCCTGTGTCATCTTTCAGCGCGTGGATCGGAATGAAAGCTTTGATGGGATTTCTGTCTGGAGCTGAAACAGAAAGCAAAGTTATCAGTGCAGGCGGGTAAGTTGTTCACGCTCGGCTTCAGCGGCAGCAGATAACAGCTGAAAGTAGTAAATAAGACTGACAGCTAAATCCACACTCCAGAGGCTTCAGTAGCTCTGTTTATTTTGAAAAAAAAGGTAGAAATGTCCCTTCTGCCGGCTTTGTGGACTCGGAGATGTTTTGGATGCCAAGTCTGGCGGCTGTACGGACACTTGGATTTACACAGCTCACACGAGCTGGTGTTCACTCATGAGGGATCATTTTTAATCTCTGTGTAAATCTGCCATAAAACTGTGGTAAGCTGGAAGCTTTCAATGCATGTAATTTGGATGCCGATGATGATTTTTTGTAATTTATTTTTTTGAATTTATGTAATTTCTTCACTTTTCTGCTTCCAAGCACAGAGGCGTCTCAGGTTTTCCCCATCCTTCCCCTTCTGAGTGGCAGGAAAAAAGCCAATTTGGGGGCTTCCTAGCCCAGGTCCTGCAGGGAAAGGCATCTCTCACCACCCTGCTGAAGGTCAGCTCAGCTGTCCTGGCTGTCTCCAGGGAGACTCTGCTGCCGCTGAGCCACAGGACTGGCCAGACAGAGGGGACAGAGGGGACAGCAAGGGAGAAGGGAAATTACATGCTTGGTTTTGCAGACAAAATGAACCTCCCGGCAGTGCCAGAGCCTCTCGGAGCAAAAGGTCTCAGTGCTTGGCTTTACCTCCGCGGGGCTCGGACACACGGCTCAAATTAACCCCTGAGCTCTCGGATCCCTGCCCGCTCCGCAGCTGCGAGTGTCTCCAGCTGGAAATCCCAGGATCTGACTTCAAACCAAGGAAAATCTATTCCAGAGGCAGGAAGTCATTCCCCAGGCACAACTCTTGAAGGATGGGTGTTTAAAAGCAGCCTACTTTTTTTCCTCTTCTTTCTTTAATGTACTGGTAACATCTTCTGAATTGTACATAAATTAATTCAAGGCTTTTTCATTTGGACAATATGGCAGTAAGAAGGAAAAAATCAAATACACACCTGGATGGTATTAGACAGCCAATAAGGATTTTTTTAAAATATATTTGGTTTTCAAAAGATGATTCAGTGACAAAGCTGAAAACAGTTTAAATAAAAGCCCAGATGTCTGCAGCTTGACATACCCAAGTTCTTATTCTTCCTAGGCATCAGATGTTCTTGATTTTTCACATAGAAAATTTTATTTCCTTTTTGTTTTATGATACACTTACACAACAGGACCGTACCAGTGAAAAGGGAAAAAGTAAAAAATGGGTCTTCAATGAGGAACAATGTGACAGACAAATCAAAAATCAAATTTAGCCAAATAGTGGGACATAGTGGAATTTTAATGTAAGATACAGTTGATTGTGGTTTTATCCTATCAGTGGAACTTTTTATTTACTGCAAACATTATCTGAAACAAAGATCTCCAGTGATCACCTTCCCTGGCCCTTCCAAGAGGCTGCCCAAGACCCAGGCAGGACATGCATCACACACCTCAGGGAACTGAGACAGCAGAGCTCTGTGAATAGTTTGCAAGAGTTTCCATGTGTCCAATATTGGCCTCCATGGGATGGAGCTGCCCAAATAGTCACCAGCGTCCACAGGAAACTCCCTCTTTACTCACCTCTTCCTACAGTTAGGAAATGGATGACCAAACCACCTCTGTATCAGTACTGATAAGGTGAGGAAGAACCCCTCTAAGGAAAACTTTCAGAAGGTGGGAAAATAGACTGGGGAAGTATTGCAAAATGCTCCCCTGGTTTCTGCAGTTTCCTCTCAGTGTCCCTGACTCACCTGTGCCACAGACAGGACCCCAGGAAAGCCAGAACTCCATGTGAACAACACTAACATTAAATATACCTCAAGAGGAGAAGGTTGGGCACCACCTTGCTGTTGAACCTGCTGGTCACCTCACGTTTGCATTTTCATCCTGGGACTCTCCATTTGTCTTTTCATAAATGTTACCAACCTCTCTTGTTATATTTTGGAACTTGGTGCCACAGTGATTCAACAAAATAGTTATTCAGACAGAAAAAAAAAAAATCTGAAATAAATTAAAGAGAACAACAGGGAGTACACACAAATAAAAGAAACAGACTTTTCCTGTACATAGAAGAACCACCAAGTGAGGAAACAGAAAGGCATGGCAACAAAAGAACAAATATTCTGCACAAATAGAGGGAATTGTGGAAAAATTAAATTACACAATGGTGTGAGTGTAATAAGGAAAAAGGGGAGAGAAAATGTGAGTAGAGAAACCATACATCAGTTGGACTTCTTCAGAAATGTCCACCACAACACAAATCTAACTGGTGCCCAACACACTACGTCACCTTTCCAAAAAACATGCTCCATCCCATGTTACTCAGGCTGATGGCAAAGACCCCAGTGCTTAGTAAAGTGAACAAAGAACACTCAGACCACAAAACCACCAGAAGCCCCAAAAAAGGGTCAAAATCCAATTTCCTGCATTCCAGATAAGCTGGGGTTTGTGCAGATAGCTTTTCTGGGCATGATTTTAGCTTATCCACCACAATTGAAGGTGAAGTTTGGATTTTTCTAGAAATAGAGATGATTGCCAAATTTATGTCAGTGTTTGAGACAGGCGATTAAGAACAGATCTGTTTGGAACAAGAAGAAAAAAGGAACTTTTTATCTAAGGGGTGTTTCTTCACAGACAACTTAGACCAGAGTATTCCCAACCTCTCTTTGATTTTGTTGCACTAGAGACAGCTGAGTGAAAAATCAAGCTCACAGGAATGGGTTTTTCATTGCCAAGATCTCAGGGCTGACTCCTTTTTTGCATGAAATAAATCAGATTTTGGAGGGCTATAGCACAAATGTCCCTTAACGTTTCATTCAGAAAACAAATGTACTTGTTGAAGTTGTAGGCTTTGTTCTGTGATCCCACCCATCAGATTGCTCAGGATCTCTGCTTTTTTAACAAGAAACAAATGTCAGTGATTTCAAATTTGGTCTTGGCTAACAAGAAATCTCTGGGAATTTCCCTCTTAGGTGAAGGAACAGTCAAAGTCGAAGGGCAGAAGGAATGAACGTAAGTCCAGCAGTCAAATGATTGAAAGAACCAGGGGAAGTTCAGCAAAATACAATTACTCCTCTCTTGTGAAGAATTCATTTTTCTGTGACCTTGCCAGACAAGCCTTTTAGCAGGCAAGCAGCAGTTCAAGAAAAGCTTTTTTACCTCCAGCTTCAGAGACAACAGACATTTCCACTTCTGCCCATGGACCTTTCATCCCTCTGAGCCATCACCACTCTCACCAGCACAGAGGACAGCAAAGCCATGGAGCAAGGAAGAGCCAGGGGATCCATGTATCCTGCCTAAAACATCTCAGAAATGGGAAGGGTTTGAGGGTTCTAAACATCTATGATGGGTAGAATGAAAACATACAGAAAGCTGTAGTTCACAGGTGGAGTTTCCTGTAAGAATAACAATTACAAACTTAAACAGATTTGCAGCAACGCTCAGGAGCTGCTTCCTGGGCTCAATCCACTTTCTGGTTAGAAGCAGAACCTCTCCATGCTGCTGATGTAAAAACTACAGGGTGGAAATTGAGACAAGGTAGAGATGCTTGCAAATTTCTCTGCAGCAGCTGACTGATCACAACCAACACCTGTCAGTGCGAGCAAACTGGGAGGGGCTTCAGACTGAATCTCTGACTTAATGCTCCTAAATGTGGGGAAGATGGAATATTTCACACACTTCCCCCTCTCCAGGGAATTCACTACCAACCAGCCTCAGCACCCACACATGCTCCATATGCCAGATGATGAAAATTCTCTTCTGAGCTGCTCAGCTGGACTTGTTCCCTGTGTGATAAGCCAATTTGGTTTTGATTTAGTCTCAACCCTGGCTGTCAGGGGTGTCAGAGACACGAGGGAGGAGGGAGGGAGTGTGTACAGGTGCCACTTAAAGGGGGCAGCCAGGAGTGGAGGAAGCCTCATCCCTGAGGAGGCTTAGCCTGGCAACCCCTCACATGAGGCAGTCACTGTGGAGGGGCTTCTCCAAGCAGATAATGAAAAGAAAGGCTGGAACTGGGCCAATGGTCCCCACTGTCACTGAGACTCACTGCTGTTTGTTGGGTATTGTAAATGCAGGTGAACCCAGTGGGAAGAAATGATGATGTCTGACTCCAGTTCAGAAGGAGATTTATTTATTTATTTATTATAACTATACTACAATACATTATATACTATTTAAAGGAGATACTAAAACTACAGACCTATTTTTTCTAACTACCATATCTAACTCACTCACAACTTGTGACCCTCTCTGAGAGTCCAGCCACAGGTGGATTGGATTTGCCATCAGGCTCCAACAATCCTCACCAGAATCCAACCAAGCAATCACCCCAGGTAAACAATTCTCCAAACACATTCCACATGGGAAAAACTAGGAGCAGAAATAGAAATTGTTTTCTCTTTCTTTCCTCTGTGCTGCTCTACAAAAAATCCTGAAAGGAAGAAGAAGGTCCCTGTGACAGTTGTTCCATTCCTTTGCCCTGACCCCAGCCTGCCTTCTGGTTCTCCTGACTTTGCTGACTCTTGCTTGCCCTCATGCCTGTCCTTACCTCCCTGTATCCCTGACCAATGCCCTGCTGTAGCAGCATGGGGTTTGCTGCTACCTACATCTTATTTCCCAATAAGCATCTCCTGTGGAAAAGCCTCTTGAAGAAGCATTCAGGCAAAACAGTCAAGTCCATACACACCACACTCACCACGGCCAGCTCAGCCAAGAGAGGCAGAAGGGCCTTTTATATGGTCAGTTCCAGCGAGGCTTAT